AGGAGCAGTTCGGCGACGGGGGAGGGGGCATGTTGCATTGTCGCTGCTTTACTAGTTCCGGTTTACAAGTCTCACTCCGGTAAACATGTGAAGACTTGTAAGCTAATAAAATAATTGACTAGATCGATCGACATGTCGATTGGAACTAGCAAAACTCCCTCCCCCTCCTTGCCGACCTGCCCATTAAAAATTGGAAGCAAGTTACAGAAACATACCATTATTGATTTTCAGGCGCCAGGACGTGCGCTAATACCAAGACCACCGGAAATCCAAACAATACCAAGCAGTGCAATGAACAGCATAAGGATCGCCTCGGACACACCGTCAATCTCCCCTCGACTGGCTCAGCGAACAGCCCCATTACCACCACATCCCCTACCAGTTGGCGCACGAATAGCTGCAGTTGCCCCATTGATGAGCAATCAGACTAGTACACTGCCGGTTAAGGTCAGTTCAAAGTTACTGTTCGCATAATTAACTGTTCTAATGGTGTCTCATTAGCGTCGCCCTGGTCCAAGCTCGGATATAATCACCTTGAGTGACGACGAACCTGGTCCATCAGCTGCAAAACGTGCAGCTCCTTCATCTCTGCCAGTCGCACCATCACCATTGACTCTGAAAAAGCCTACTGATAGTGCTAATCGATGCAAGGTAAGGTATTTAAATTTACTGTTCATTATACTCGAAGCGATATGATCGTTTGACCATTTTGACCCGAAGATTAGTTGCGCGCAGCTAGGTTACTCGATTAAAGGGCAGGTGCACGATTGCCTGAATGTTGGAGTCGTTTCTGGAGTGAAGTGAGGCAGGTAGGTTGGAAAACTCGTCCGAGCGCCCGCAAACTCGCCCAATTTTGGGGTAGCGGATAGGGGGTTCTTATTTGGAATCCCTTTTGGCTGTTTTTTCTACTGCCTCCTTCACAGGTGCGTCACTTTCCACCTTGTAGTTCCTATAATGGGTGCCATATCCCCATGTTGCTATCCCCCATTGTGCACCCTGTCTTTAAGTCTCTATGACCAAGCGTCGGCTTATTGCTGTTTGCCTCAGCGATCCACCATAGCTTCTTCTACCAAAGACCTGCTTTCAGATTTGTGATGCTGGAATGCCGTCTGCTCAAATTCAGTCACTGCATGAGCTTCACAGGAATGGCATGGTAAGAATCGTATCTGCTAAACAGTTCCAATCGTATCTGCTAAA